TGCCATCACTTCCTAACTTAATTCTTATCAATGACAACGACTCAGTTTACTCACTAAACACATTACACATTCGCATTATATATTCATACTTTTACATTAATTACCTTACTAAATAAAATTGTAGGCAGGATTCCATACTATAAGCTTTCAGGATGTTAAAGAAGTGAAACAGAGCACATTACATTCTAAATTTTAAATAAGGGGGATCTTCATAAAATCACAAAAGTTCCATCCTATTTTTCATACATATCATGGTAAGTGGTACCTCTCATACAGTTCGTCAAAACACCCATATGAGGAAACTCCTTCGAGCTTTCCGCTGTCCTAGGTACCTCAAATGTAATTGACTCCACTGATCAGAGGATCCATTAGCCATGATGTGAACTTTCCAATCAATGACACACATCACAATTTTGAAACAGATACCAGACCTAATCCACTAACATAGACCACACTTTCGTAATTCAAATTCACAATACTCACATTCAAAATTCTAGTTACAGATGAATCTGCCTTTAAAGAAACAAGTAGAGATTACAGTACACGACCTCATGCATGAAGAGCACCCAATCCAATTTTTCTTAAATAGATGGCTAATCTCATTCATACAAGCAGCAATTATATCTATTCAGGAAGAACATCTCAAGGATAATAATAATATAGTATGACGTACACAAACATATATCATACTTTTAAACATAGGATTTACAGCAACGTATTTAAGTCCAAGATTGAATATTATATCGGTTAGATAACAATTAAACAACATTAGGGTGCTCACGTTGAGTTCAACTCTTATATCACCAACTCAATTTTTATATTAGATGTCCAAGGAACTATGCAAGTATAACAGGAGAGTTCGAACCAGTAACTAGCTCTAGGGACTTATTTATAAATAAGTAACAGTTCCCAACAATATGAACAGAGGTATGGGAGTTTCACATTAATCTAGATCTAGGACTCGAGTACACATGCAATTAAATCAAGAGAATGGTTGATCCCAGAATTTAACATAGAGTAGGAAAATTATAGACTCACCGTTTCTCCGTTAGTAGTTCAATCAAATCATATAGTGGATAGATGCAATTTAAGGGTCAATATTTATGGCAAAAATATAATTTTCTTTTGGAATCAGATACTGTGCAGCATGGCGGGGATATAATGAATAACACTCCATAAATTCATGTTATGACACAAACAAAATGTATCAATCAAGGCAGTTTGAATAACCTATACGTCAGGTGCCGAGTATTTAATTAAAAACATAAATTTCTTTCAATTCATATTAGCCAACCAAGGAAGATCAAGTGTATTTCAGACACTACTTTAACAGCGTGTAGACCCACATACGGACAATGATGCATATGTAAAATTGCATGCTCATGCACCCAATGTGCCAACTTATGATTGCTTCGACCACTTGAACTACTAGGCATGAAAATTGTATGTTTATACATCGGGGGCGTTTATAAGGTGTACATTATATGTAAGAGTATGTAACACTTAAGTGTTGGAGACTTGGACAAATTAGTAAAGCTCGGTTAGAATGGTAAAAAAAAAATGTTACACATAGTATGCTCTATGAAATAGATGTTGGTTTGCCTCTATAGTCAATTAACTAGCTCAACAATTTCAGTTGTAGTTCACTCAACAGGAAAACCAAACTATGCAACTAAAGAAAACATTACATGTAACCAAGTGTTCGATGATTTAAACAATGTTCTGATCAGAAATAAGGAGACCAAATTGACCAAATTAGTATAATGATGTTCATAAAGTAAATCAAACCTAAAGTCCTAAGTATATACAGACGTTAAATTTTCGAATCCACAATTTTATCAAATTAATAAATCATGTGCAGCAAATAAGGATGCAAGGCCTGTAAACCACTATTGCATGTAACGCATAGCATTTGTAACCCAAGGAAGTTTGACACGCACATACAGCGGCTATCCAAAGTTTTCATTTATCATCAGATTGTTGGGACACATACAAGACCAATTTTCCTATGACAAACAAATTGCTGATAGAAAGCCACAAGTTGATTTATGAGATCAGTTAGGTGTTTAGGGAAATAGGGCCTAGTCAGTCAATATGCTGCATAAGTTACTTTGAAAGTATACTATAACTATAACTCAGTGACATAGACTAAAGTTACAGAAAGATTCACTACTACGACAATGTAAAGAAATTCATAATTCATAGACAAATCAGTCAAGTTATTCTACCCCACTTTGTTTCGCAGCTTCTTTCTCAAGAATGATGTCTAGTGCTAATTCAGCATTAGAAAATTTGGAAGGGTTTAGGGCCCACATGGTTGAGTCTTACTTACCCCAATTATGCTTTATATAGCATTAAATTTATTTATTTAAATACGTGATCTATCCCTACATCAATCTGTCTTCGTACAGTTTTAAGGTTATACAACAAGTCTTCTTAATGCTAGTTAACTACATCAATTACCTGGGTTCTATCACTGTTATTCTTACTCAGTTATATACACCACCATACATGAAAGGAAACAGCATAAATCTCAAGGGCAAGTATGCACCAGCAGTTATTATTTAAAGAATCACATATGTCATTCACGGTTTAGAGCATCACAAAATATTCACATCAAGTATATATATCTATGTAAGACCTTCCTTTCAATCCATAGTAAACATAACTGATAAATAACCATTAATTCGAGTAGAAATTCACTATTTCGTACATAATGCACACACATCTTGCGCGACAGTGAGTTGATCAGGCTCACCACCTAGCAAGGGAATGGGCACAACCATGCTTAATACCGGGCACTACCAGTACCATCACACCTAAAGGAACAGAAATTTTAGTTAGCAACCCATGCAGCAGTTATATTCAAACAGCAACCATACAACGAACATATACAAACAGCCAATAAATTCAAACACAACCATTCAGAAACCACGTACAAACAACAAATATTTCATCAAATACAGACACCTTGAATCAAAACTGCTCTGATACCATTTAGTGTGACGCCTGGCAACTTGCAAGGATCAACGACTGTCCCCACACACTAACATGAGACTTTTCAGTGTGCTTTATCCTCACTCGCACACTTCCCGGGAAAACTTCCCAGGAGGTCACCCATCCCAGAATTGCTCCAAGTCAAGCACGCTTAACTATGGAGTTCTTCCGTTTCGGGCTACCGAAAAGTAGATGCATCTTCTTAGTATAGGTAGTACCAATTAATTCTTATAAGTCATTCCCAACTGTACCGTCCCACACCAGCACAGTCTCTGGAATCCCTCTCTTTCGGGTGTTGATTCGATTCATTCATGTACTCTGTCCCTAGAAGCCTGCCACGAAACGCTCCTTGTTTGTTCCCTTTCGCACCGGCGATCACTCCCCGCCCTCGTCAGCGTCCGGGATGTTACAGGTTGTAAGAGCCACAAAGCATTGTTGGTCCTTGTGTGTGCCACACAATGATTTTTAGGTACATTTTGAGGTCATAGATCACTTGTGCAAACTTGGGGATTATTGGAAAAACAAAGGAAACTCTGGCGAATTTTCTAGAAATTGGCAGAATTTAGGCAAACTTTGAGAGAGCATATTTCCCTCCACAGAGGTACGATAGGGACGTGCCATACGCCGTTTTGAAGCTTGAGATGTCCTCTATCTTGTGTCAATATTTGAGGAAATTCTGGGTTGGGAGTCGGACTGGAGAACGCAAAGAACACGGACTGCCCTGTTGGTCCCTGCACATGGGGTTGTTCTGGACCGAAATTGAGAAATTTATTCCCGCTTCGTTTCTTGGTCAAATTAGGTGTATGATGTAACAAAATTGAAGATTGAGGTGTCTAGTTTATTGTATAAAAATTTGAGAGCAATTGGTCGAGTGGAATTTCTGCAGTAATTGATTTAGTGAAGGATGTTTGGAGCTGTTTTGGGGTTGGCTGGCAGAATTGCTTGTCCAACTTCAAACGGCGATATCCGGAGTAAACGAGAACTTTATGAATCTTGTGATAGCTTCCTAGAAAGGTATTTGAGTGTAGAATAACATACTAAAAGATGGGAGACTTTTCGCATGTGGTTTGTCCGCAGAAAATTAAAGACCGAACCATGTACGGATAGGTAGAAAACGTAAAAGTGAGATTTTAGCTAAGTGGGTTTATGAGAACCCTTTAGTGACTTGAGAGATGTAAAATAAGTTATAAAAATAGTTTAAATAATTATTCCGCAAAGATTCTACACTTACGATCACAGCTTTCATGTAACATCCCGTAAAAGTTAGGAACTTCGGTAAATTACCTCTAGTAATGTGAATGCATGCATTGAATTTGAATTACTTACATATGACTATGATGGAATGAAATTTTAAATAATATTGGTTACATCATATGAAGAAACCGTAGTTACAACCTAGGGAATACATGAAATGATAACTATTAGGAAGATATATAAATTGTTACTTGGAATAAAGAATCTTGTCTTGAGGGAGAGTTTTGTATAAGGCTAGGGTGGGACTAACTTAAAGTAGGAAATATTATTTTGCTGCAATTATGATAAATATTTAAGGAATTATTTCCATGGATAAACCCTTAGAAAAAAATTAAAATAAAATAATAAATAGATAAACAAATAGAAGCTACATAAAATAAAAAGGGCATGAGTTAATTCCTAGGATAAGAGAGTTGTTGGACTTAAAATTCTGGACTCAATTCATGTTATGGCCAGCGGCCAAGGGTCCTCTTGGAGGACTTAAGTTAGCCCATGATCTATTAGGTTTTATCTTTAATCATCCAACAAAGTCTGAATAGTACTATACCTTAGTCAAGTGGAAACACATGATAATGTCTAAACACCTTATCCCTCTTTCATTGGTGCGCTTAGGATAGAAAGAAAATTCTGATCTCATGCTTTGATAGCCAAACTCACTTCAGCTTGTGCATGCGTACCATGTGGCAAACAAGATCCCTATCTCCCTCTTGCATGTACGCCACCTAGCCTTTTAATGTAAGGCCCAAAATAATTGAGAACTAGCAAATCTGATTTCTTTTGTTTCACTCTTTGTTGCACTTGGTTCAGAATATGAACCAATGGTATTACCCCTTCCATTTACTTCCAAAGCCGTAAGCTATAGAAAAGAACGCATGACAGACCACAAAATTTATACACTACATCCATCTCCTTCTCTCCCTACAAATCGTGAAATCCCCAAGAGGCAAAACATCAAGGAACGTGTATCTCTTCCTCTATACAAACCGTAAACTGTTTAGAGGACCACCCACCCATTTAACACACATTTCTTCTCCTTTCATGGTTCGGCTGTAAATTTTCAAGAAAAGGGGCATGGTGAAATTTTCCTTCTTCACGCTTCTGCTTATCTATGCAAACTGGTGGAGACCCCTCTTGCATGCGGAATTCAATGGCTGCTCATTCTTTCTTCTCTTTTGCTCTGTCGTGAAGTAACCACCACGGAAGGGAGGGTATTTCTTTATCTTCTTGCTCTCTTATACAGAAATCGATTCTGACTGGGGCTCTCCCCCTTGCAGGCAGCCTAAAAACCGTACATTGAAGAGTGGAATGGGAGGGGATTGGAGCATCTTTGGGCCACGGTTTCCTCCAGCCGAATTGTACACATTGGGTGTCCCTCCAATAGAAGTAAGTCATAGATGTAATTCTGCCTTGCACTTTCATGTTCGGCCATCACATACGTTTAGGAGAATGTTGCCTTCTGGTTATTCACCCCATTTGGATTCTGCCCATTTAGAACAGCCTTAGAATGAATTCATGCAAGCCAAAGCTGGATTTTATAAATTGAAAATAACTTTCCCTTGTTTTTTTTTTATCTATTCGGTCCTCTTGTGAATATTGGAGAATACCTTAATTTGGTCACTTACTTCCGTTGAATTCTGCATATTTGAACAGCCTTGAAAACTTTAAATTGAAATTGTGAACAGCCTTGAACGTGGCCTGTGTAAGCTGTAATTGGCCTCTTTGTGAGCTTGGAAAAGATACATTAAATGCCCCTAGCTTTTGGCCTAGAAACCGAACGCACAAGGGTGTGTCAAAGATTAGTTCTTTTGTTATTTTGTTCTCTTACCTTTGCCATGAGTGGACCGTTTGGGGCTTGTGATCACACGCATAGAGAGTAGTTTGTTTAACTGAAACATAGTCGCTTGTGTTGGAAATTCTGCTTTGTTGAAATAGGTGAAAGTAGATATGTGCATGTGTAAAATTTAATGGGACGGCTTGTATTGAGACTGCCCTTTTAGCACACCCCTTAGGCCTAGAAGAGGTGGTATTGAAATAATTATTTGAATATCCTAGTTATGTTAAAATGAACCGAACCTGTATGCTTGTTAAACCTTGGAGAGTTTGTTTTGCTAGCACATGTTGGGATAAAAATTTAGGCCTTGTAAGGGTGATTAAGTGATAAAACAATTTGGAACACTTAGTTCTGCCTAAATCGAACCTGCATGTACAAGGGGGCTTAAATTTTGTTCGCCGTGACCTATTGATATATTAACACTAAGTCAGAATATATAATTTAGCCTGGGGACCATGAAAAAAACCGAATTGTGTGTATAGAAACCAATTATAGAATAATAATTAGAAGCATGAAAATTTGTTGATAAATTATAGGAATAACATGAGACCAATTCTGACTTGTCACACATGTTTTTAGGTGCACGTAACTCTTGTTAAGTGAGCTGAATTTTGGTGCTGTTGATTATTGCTTGGACCCAAGGTATGTGTTTGGTGGTGAGACATACTATGACTATTAGCTAGTGTATGAAATTTTGAACTGATGCTCACATGTGCCCCTGATTAGCATTTTGTTATATGGTATATGTATTCTGCCTTTGGACTTGTTTTGATGGAAAATTCTGTTTATGGAAGTATATGTTATTTGGCAGCTTGGTATTACATATACAAGAGAAATATGCTATTATGATTATGATCTAGTCATGCTTATGCACATCATAATTTCACCTGTGTTTGTTTGTGTGTGTGTCGAGCATGTCATCGCATACTGCATTATGCATTCATCTTGGAGACTGGAGTATACAATAAATATAAGCATACGTTTGAGCACGCATCATATAGGCATCCTACGGTACATGGGTATGGGACACTTGGCTTCCGTCCGCATAGGCCACAGTTGGAATTCACCTTTGAAGGAGTCATTATGGAATATCCACTGTGTATGTATGCGCACAACGGTGCTATGAGCGTAATGATGGCGTTATATACGCACTATGATATGTTAAGTACGCGAACAATGGTGCTACGAGCGTAATGATGGCGTTATATACGCACTATGAAATGTTAAGATTTATCCGGAAAATTAAATGTTGATGCGACTGTTTTTGAATTTTGTACCTAGTCTAATATTGTTTCTGTATTGGTTTTATTGTCACACTACTGGGATTTTTCTCACCCCTATGGGGGCTCAATTTTCATAAATTGCAGGAGGACTTAGAAGCATGTGAAGAAGTATTTGATGACGTGATTTCATGGAAATGAATTGATTGAGTTTTACTGTTTGGGATATCCTATTGTTTAATTGATGTTTCTGTTGGAAGTATAATGTATATTCAGCTTTGATGTAGCCTTTTAAGGATGGCAGTTTATTATGTGCATTCTGTCTTGAAATGATTTGTGACATGATATTTTCATAACGTCGGAATTTAGGTGATTCTAAAAATTAAAGTGTCAAACCGATTTCTGTTGTATCCAATTCGGAGTTTTTGAACGGTTTTTGCGAGCACTTTGCGAGTTGTCGTTCTGGGGCTACATACCTCCGAATGAGGCTTATTTTATATGCATATGAAGCCCCAGTTGTGTACTTTCATATTATTATGATGAAATTTTGAAAACTTGAATTATTATGATTTTTACAAGTCAGGAGGTTTTTAGAAAAACACACTGGATTTTCGAGAACCTTGCGAGTTCAGTTTCGTGGGGCTATTCTCCTCCGATTCGCGTATAATTTATATGTACGCGAAGCCCCAGATGTCTAGTTTCTTCGTAGAAAAGAAAATTTTTGTATTCGAATTTTTCATGATATTTTCAAGACAGGCTGTCTTCAGGAAAATCAGAGTTGCGCAGCGAAAGCCTTTTTGAGTTTTACTTGCTGTTTTATTTTCCAAAGTCAGTTTTCTAAGCAAGCTTTTCTAATTGGTATTAATGAAAAAAAATTTACTGAACAAGAAATTTTACTTGTTAAAAATTCGACTCTAATCCGCTTAGCAGACAACTCCCTTGGACGCGTACAGGGGAGGGTGTCACATTTCGTTTATTACGTTTTTTATTGTTTTAAACGCTCGCGTAATAAATGGAAAAAGTTTACTCGCATTTTTATAAATGAATTGTTGTGATTGTAACTGCGCTTAATATCATAATTAATGTTAACAATACCGGTGTACAACAGGCTGTTACAGGTTGCTTCCTGATCGTACAAGTACTAACATCACATCCATCTATACATTACATCAACAGGTATATTACACACCAGGGTTGCTGTCTGATTGTGTAAGTATCCAACATCAAATCCATACATTATATCAACATATATATCCACATATTTCAGGCATATATCAATGCATATATCATTTTCATAAAAGCATACCATGCATATAAACTACCCTCCCATGGAGGTCGGTGGAACAAGCAACAGATCAATCCGAGGACCAAGAGCTTACCTTATCTGCAACTTGCTCCAATGAACTCTCAGTATCCAAAGGACCACAATCATAGGCCCTCACAAAATCACAACCTATTTCAAGATATAAAGACAATTAATAAATATGCTCTTTTACGACATTTTTTTGTATATTATCTTTTACGTAGTCATTCTTTACGTAGTGACACCAACTCAAGGTGGGAGGAAGTAAGTCCACTCCCTAAGGTCTCTTAACTTTAGAACATCACTTACAAGTACCATAGAGTCTATAATTCATTTCCTTGAAGAATATTCCAAAGAATTCAACTCTATCTACGAATACGACAACAAACTTTGCTTCCCAATTTTAAAACTGCAGTTGCAAATCTTTACCGAAAATTCTAAGATTATAATATGTTAAACTAGACATCACAAGCTTTTCAAAGATATGTTTTATGTCTCAATCGGAGTTGTATAACTCTGGTTATGATTTTCGCAAAGTGACTGCTGCAAACTGAATTTCCAACAACCAAGACGCGACTTCAAACTAACACTGAGATCAAACCACTTATCCAATGGCTACAACATTTTACGGAGTAGTAACTCTATGTGTTAGCTACTCATAAGTTCAAACAGAAACTCGATTTGGAGCTCTGTAGCCCAAGATATCAAATTTTTACCGAAACAGGTTCGTTGTTGTCTCAATATCCGGATATGCCATATCCGGATATCTTATCCGGATATTTCTCAATAGAGGCCAAAAACAGCAGCCTAGCACGAAATTATTCAATTAAAATTCCATCTTTCACCTAGATACATCTATCCCATCGACTTAACATGCATTTTAACATTTAGATTCATCAAGCAACGTTCAAATTATCAAAACTCATAATTTTACATCTTTAAATCATGTTATTTTCATGAAAACACAAAGGGAAGTGTTGAGGTATATACCCAAGAGCTTCAAGACAGCAAAAGGAAGGGACTTCATGGTCTACAACCCACTTTCCACTGCTGCCAAGGTAAGAGCACGAAAATGATTCTTCAAAGTTGGTTCTTTCTTGCCAAACAACTACTCTACAATGGCTTGGGGTGATTCAAGCTCTCACAAATGGAGATGGTGTTTAAACACACATGGGCAGAATATTTATGGCTCCAAGATGAGGGTTTTCCCTACCAAAGTGTTTGCTCTCAAGGTTCCCTAGTGATTAAATGGAATGGAGAAGGAAAAAGATGAAAGCTTTGGTGATTTCCATGGAGAGAAGAGTGATTTCTTGGAGAGGAGAAGGGTGGCAATGTGGCTGAACCAAGCTTCAGAAAACTCACGTATGAAAGATGATAATCTGACCTAGGTCTTTGTGCCAATCGCTATTTATAGTCTCATTAAGTTTAATCTCACTGTATTAGCACTAATAGCTACGCTTATCATTTTAATCCCAAATTTTGGATTCTGAACCTAGCCATTTTTCTAGGATTTATCATATTTTTAATTTATTTTTCGCAGCACTTTGCCGGTATGCGCTTTTACGTAGCCGGTATCAATTCTGACACCAGTTCTCATTATTTTGACTTCAAACTTGTTTTACTATTCCTATATATTATTCTAGGAATATTCATACACTTATTATAATTTTCTGGGATACTTCATCGGTATGCATTTATACCGTGAAGCAGAACCGGTATCTGCAATTTTCGTCAGAAAAGCGACTATCAGCATTATTAAACCCTTCTGATAATTAATTAACTCTTTCCATATTTATTCAAGTCAATTATGGAATTATTTCCTCAAAATCATAATTACATATTTAAATTCCTAATTTAACAATGCAGGTTCTTACGTAGCCGGTATCAGTTCTGACACCAATTCTCATTATTTTGACTCCAAACTTGTTATACTAGTCTTATATATTATTCTAGTAATGTATACACACTTTTCATAATTTTCCGGGATACTTCATCGGTACACATTTATACCGTGAGGCAGAACCGTTATCTGCACTTTTTGTCAGAAAAGCGACTTTCAACATTATTAATCACTTACCATAATTATTTAAGCCTTCTCATAATTATTATGGTCAATTATGGAATTGTTTCCTAATTTCACATTTAAATAATTTAAATTTCTAATTTAACAGTGCGGGTTCATACAAGGGACAAATTGGGAAGTACGACTTGGAAATCAGTCCACTTTTCAAGATAGTGAGATGCAAATCAGCATTCCTGACTTTGATGTCTATGATCATAATCCAGTTTGTGATGGTGATCCGATCTATGATAATGATCCAATTTATGATGATTATCCGATTGTTGATAATTATGCCATTTATAATGATTATCCATCTTATAATGAAAATTCAGTTTATTATGATAATCTAGTCTATAATAAATCTGATGGTGAATCAGATTATGAAGATATAATAGAGGAAGATTTATCATTTGAATTTTCATCTAAAGAAATTGAGATCAGTAAAGATAAACAAGATTCGAGGATAAATCTTTTCCTAGCAGGGGAGAATGTTGAACTTACAGTTGACCCATTATACATGGTCCAACCATTAATTCAAGAAGCTCGTAGTCAACTAGAGTTGTGGCCCAATAAATATGGCCCAATTGTTGAAAGAGGCAATGATTTGAAATATAACAAATTACAATCGAATCCAAGTCCCAGTAAAGTAGTAGATGTGATTGTGATTTGTTTGGGAAGAAAAGGAAAGCAACATAATTGGAGTGAACATTTTCTTGCTAACAAGATTGTTAAACTACCTGGAGCTAATGGTCCCTTCAGGGTGCTCGGGAAGATCAATAACAATGATTACAAGATTGAACTTCTTGGGGAATACAATATCTCTAGTACTTTCAATGTTACTAACTTGTCTCCTTATCATGATAATGAAGAGGGCATAACGTGCGAGAATAACCATGAAGACCCGTTAGATTCAAGGACGAATCTTCTTTTGGCAGGGGAGAATGATGCACCTGGGTAACTCGCTTGGATTGGATTTTTCCATTATTTATTCTTTATTTAGGGAATTCTAATAATTACTAGTTATTTCCTTTTTATTATTTTAGATTATGTACATATTTGCGAAGCTGACTAATGTGAAAAACACTATGCAAATTTGACAAATGTGGAGGTAAGGCAAGCTGGTACGCCACAGGTCCGACCCTCTTTGTAATCTGGTAGGGCCCTATGAACCTAGGACTCAACTTTCTCACTCCAAGAGCACGCCCAACACCTGTAGTCAGAGACAAACGGATAAACACATGATCCCCTTCAGAAAATTCAAGGCGATCGGTGTTTTGCATCATAATAACTCTTTTGGCGGCTCTGTGCTTTCTTCAATCGATCCTTAATCATAATAATTTGATCAGTAGTCTCTTGGACCATCAGTCTGGGGATGATAAGCCGTACTCAGTCTCAGCTGCGTACCAAATGCCTGTTGCACTACATCCCAAAGTCGAAAAGTGAATTTAGGGTCCCGATCACTAATGATACTTTCGAGAACACCATGAAGTTTCACCATCTCCTTCACATATAATCGAGCCAATTGCTCCGTGAAGAAACTCTTCTTGACTAGAATGAAATGTGCAGACTTTGTCAATCTGTCTACCATAACTCGTATAAAATCAAAACCAACCTGAGTTCTTGGCAATGTTACTACAAAATCAATAGAAATATTGACTCCCTTCAATTTCGAAATATTCAAGGGCTGCAGTAATCCAGAGGGCTTCTCATTCTCAAACTTATATTCGTCATTTTATTTCTCTGAGCTCATTTAAGTTCACTTTTATTCCCTAAGGAACAATATTACAATTCACAGTTGAGTTTCTGCACCGTTTTTAATGAAATGCCCTGTGAATTACTAACTGCGCACTGTTTGCACGCAAAATCGTAAAACTTCTAAACTTATCTTTTTTATCTAAACATGAATTTTTAGTCTTCTCACTAAAAATATAATTCCACTGAAACATCAGTGTATCAGCCCTTTTTCTGATAATATAGTTCACAATTTATTGTACCTCAGTCCTTGCACTAATAATACAATTTACAATTTCATTGTACATCAG